TATAGCCTTGTAGATCGTTTCTATGTATATAAATATTTATCTTTTCCTTAAAATGGGATCATATTTGTTAAATTGTTTTGTAACCTGATTTGTTTAGTTCATAATGTAGCATGAATATTTTCCTATGTCATTAAGGAAAGATAATAATAACAACAAAGATAGAGTTTACTACATGCTAGACAACCCATCCTATCTTCAAAACATGGCTGTATGTTGGGTAGTAATATTACTCCCATTTTGTAAATTGAAAAACTGAAGCACAGAGAGGTGAGATAATTTGCCTGAGGTAACACAGCTAGTAAGTGACAGAGCTACGTTTTGAACCTAGATAGTCTAGCTCTAGAGGCCGTGCTCTGGACCACAGAGCCCTGACCCATGCCATCATTTTCATGGCTATAGTAGATGGTAATTTATTTAACCCTTCCCTTCTTTCTGGGATGTTAGATTCACTGTTATACACAAAGCAGCAATGAACACTTTGTTCAAACATTCATCTTTGTACACATGTTCAATTACTGCTTTAGGCTGAATTCCCATGAATAGAATTGCTGAGTCAAAAAGTTTACACATTTTTTAAAGTTTGGATACATATTAGTCAACATTTTTAAGCAATTTATTTTCTAAGCCTCTTTGACCTTTATAATTCATTGTTCCTTTCGAATAATGTATCACTGTCCATTTGGGTTCAATGATAGTCTTTTCCTTAGAACATGGAGCTTCTTCTGTTCTACTTCCTCCTCCATCCTTCTGCCTTATACCCATCTCTCTAAAATGTTTAACAAAATAATACCCTTCCCCAAAGCATAATGCCTTTTGTTGTCAGCACTTCCTGTATCTTATATCTCCTGGACTTTAACTATTAGATGGGGTATGTGTATTAGTGGAATACAGTCCCACCATTTGACTTGATGTCAGTTTTTTAAAAATTTTTACTTTATATTGGAGTACAGTTGATTTACAGTGTTGTGTTAGTTTCGGGTGTACAGCAAAGTGATTTAGTTATACATATACGTATATCTATTCTTTTCCAGATTCTTCTCCCATATAGTTTATTACAAAGTACTGAATACAGTTCCCTGTGCTATACAGTAGGTCCTCGTTGTTTATCTATTTTATATACAGTAGTGTGTATATGTTAATCCCAGCCTCCTAATTTATCCCCCCCCGAACTTTCCCCTTTGGTAACGCTAAGTTTGTTTTATAAGTCTATGAGTATGTTTCTGTTTTGTAAATAAGCTCACTTGTATCATTTTATTAGATTCCACATATAAGTGGTATCATATGATGTTTATCATTGCCTGCCTCATACAACTGATTTTCTTTCTTTTCTCTATTTTATTTTTTTCTTCCGAGCGTCACAAGAATTACAGTAACAAATCTGTTATATAACTTTTTTCCTGATGTTAGTCTGTAAAGTAGGATGGACTGCCTGGTAAGGATGACAGTGTGTCAGAGGCTGGAGGGCAGAGCTCCCTGCTCTGATCCCACCTCTGCCTCCCGCTTGTTTTATGACCTTGAGAAAGCCACTTCATCTTTCTCATTTCATGTTCCTCATTTGCTAAATGAGGAAGGTGAACTAAATGATCTAGAAAACCTATTCCAGGTTTAAAAAAAAAATACGGTGTCAGGCTATCCAAGAGTAAAGCAGATTTTTAAAAAATATTGTGTGAAACTGGGACAAATGTGATGTTGGCGGGGCCATGTTGGACGCGGCTAAAGGTTCCTGTCGACATAATAAAAATGTTTTGTGCCTTGTCTCTTGGCCAAGGCCTCCTGACAGTCTGCTTTAGTGGCTCGTGAAACAAATCCCTAAGACCAAGGTAGTTATAGTTGTTCCACTGAAGCGTGACAAATGGCCTCTCACTTTGAATGCGTTTATGAGAAAGGAAAACCTTCCATGACAACAGCAGTGGAACTTAGTTACAGGCTCCAGGTCTGGGGGCAAGAACGGAGATAGTCACTGGCTGTGGCCAAGCGAGAGAAGACAAGAGCCTGAGCTCACCTGGGAAGAACCAGGACCGGGTGATATAACAGTGACAACAGCACAATGACAATATTAGTGGGGCTTCATGGAGAACTTGCTATTTGCCAGGCACAGTCCCAAGAACTTTATATATATTATCTCATTTAATTGACACAATAGCCCTAAGAGATCGGTTCTGAGGTCGGTACATTTATTTTTCTGTTTTATAAAGATAAGTTTTGAGAGGCTCTTAAAAGAAGTTGAGTAACATGCTTCTCGTTATTCAGCCAGTAGTTGTCAGAGGTAAGATATGAACCCTGAGAGTTTGTTCATTTATTTAACACGTGCTGTTTGAATGTCTATTATGTCAGGCACCCTTCTAAGGGCCGATGAGACCTAAGTGAACGAGGCAAAATTTCTGCTTGTATGGAGTTTGGCTAATAGTGGGATGAGCCCAGTAATAACAAGCCAACGAATCAATAAATAATTTCAGATGGTAATAATAAGTGGCTGTGAAGGAGAGTGAGTGGGGTTGGGGGAAGGCTGCTTTACACAGGATTGGCAGGGGTGGCCCGTGGGAGGTGACATTTGAGCTGAGCCCTGCATGACAGAGCAAGTCAGCCATGCAAAGCTCTATTGGAGGAGAGTTCTTACATGGAGGGTCCACAGGAGCCAAGGCCAGGGGCTCAGAAGAACTTGGCTTGTTCTAGGAAGAGAGAGAAGGCCAATATGGCTGGATGATACATGAAAAGGGGGGCAGTGCCTGCAATGGAGTGAGGAGAAGGCCAGGGACCAGAGGACACAGGGCCTTGGAGGCCACAGTATAATGTTTGTATTTTATTCCAAGTGCAGATGGGAGACATTGGAGGATTTTAAGCAAGGGAGCATTGTGATCTCCCGTCTCTGTGGATGGCTTTCTTTACCTCTATGTGCAGTTGCCAACAAGAAGCAACCAGAAGGGGATAAGGTGTTTATGTGCAGGGAAGCCTAAATGAAAGTTTATAGGTTAGGAGCCAGCATTTCAGATGAATCAAAATTCTAGGTTTTTCACAGAGCAAGACTGAAATGAACAGTGAGAGACCATCTAATCCAAACTTCTGACTTTAGGTAAGAAGACCTTAGGAAATCCAAGTTGAGCATCTGAGCTATGTTTGAAAACCTGCATTAAGGAGACTGTTTATTTTGGGGGGAACTTCCCTGACTATGTAGAAAGCTGCACTCTAGGTTCTGAATATTCTTGACAACTTCTTGGTCTGGGGGTTGTACTTACCTTATAGAGTAAATCTCATCCAAAATAACAAGACAGCTTTGGGTAGATGACATCTCAGGGATTCATACTTCCATGCAGTCTGGTATGTGTGTGTGTGTGTGTGTGTGGTGTGTGTGTGTGTGTGTGTGTGAGCGCGTGCACGCGCGCGCATGCATATTAATCTTTATATTTGAAAAATATTTTTGAAGGTGTCATCAATATTTTAACATTCAGGACCTGGTTTTTCTGGTGAGATGGTATTGTATGGATGGTTCTAAAATTTTGTTGTAAACTCGGCAACATGATTTATTTTATTTGAATGTTATTATAAACAAACACTCATCTTAACCTATTAAAATTGGTCTGTGTCACATATAAGATGAAATTAATTGCTTCTTTAGGTTAAAAGCTCACTATTACATTGTCTACTTTGACAAAAGAATTAAGAGCTTCACTGTTATTTAGCAAACTAGGTTTGAATAACAACATAAACCATTATTAGTACACTGTATTTGTGTGTGTGCCTATGTGGCTGATTATCTGTAGGTAGGTTCCTGACGATGCAAGCCTAAGAATCCAGATGCATTTGTATGAAACTATCTTAGGAGGTGTTTAGTTGCCTCTGTGATAGGATGGGCCCCAGAAAGCAAGTATGAATTGTGAAAGAACTTAATTTAAGCTACATAACTGTAATTGAGTAGGATTTGGGGAAGTTCACCACTCTTGAGTTACTTTTTATTTATAGTAAGTATATTTGTTTCTCAGGAGGGGAAAAATTCTCAAACTATCTTACTGCATGAGATCAGAAAATTTCTGTTCCTTTGCATGAAAGTAGTATGTGACAGTAGCACAAGGACAAAGGCAGCATAAGGATGGGTGTGGGATGCCATAGACGTGCAGGATGACAAAAACAGAGTTTCCTTATCAAAAAGCACTGAATTAGAGAACTCTTAAAGCTTCCCCAGCTTAACATTCTATGAGTCGGGGAAAAGGATTTTTCCCTCTGGCTGCTTAAGCTAGAGTATGTTTTACCAAGACCTTAGCTATGAGCTCAGGAGGACTCTAATAACTCCGTCAAAATTATAAATTCAGCTGTCAGCACTGGGATTGTTGAGTTGACTGAACAAGCAGATTTTCTCCATCGTCTGCTTTCTAGATTGATGAATAACAATTTCGTCCTCTCCATTTTGTTGTAACTCTTTCACTCTGACACTGATTGCTGAGAGGTTTTCTGGAAATTTCCTAAGTCACAAACTGGAGTAAATTCAAGGATATAATGCGATTCCAATTGAATCATCAGTGTCTCAGCTGTCAGACCCAGGAGTTCAGTTGGTTGAGTCGTACAACTTCAACAGATTTAATATTACATACTTGCCACTTTGTGTCTTGCCCTCGAGTCTTGATAAATGGGCTAAAGGTCTGACTGGAATCTGTGAGATAAATTATATGTTTATTATGCCAAGTTAAGTAAATACTGTTTGAAAGGATTACTGGAGGGTACAATCAAGTTAATTGCTTTAAAAATCTTTTTTGATTTACTGGGCTCTATGAAAATGGTTAAGCAATTGATTCTGTCATGGTAAGTGACATGAAGAAAGTGGTGTTGGATCCACAAGGGTTGCCATATACACTTCTCCCCTCATGCCTGGAACTGTCCCGTAAATGAGCTGAGAGGCCCCCAGGACCAGAAAGCAAGTACTGCTGACAGACAGTTGTTCCTCCAGAGAAGACACAAGTTGACAGTTTGATGTTCAAGCTGACGGATTGCTTTCTTTCTTTTTATTCTAGATGCTGAAGAATACCAGCCTCCGATATGGAAATCCTACTGTGAGTACCTAAAATCATAATCTCCTCAGAAGTCTTTAGTCGGCCTGCCTTTTGAACAATTTTTGCTGTTGATTTAGTGCACACAAACTCTCGCATCACAGCACTGCAAACCCAAATGTCTCTTTCTCTGCTAAGGAAAGATATTGGTCAGAGAGAACTGGAAGAGCCCTGTCCCCTGGCCAGGACCTCGGAGAGCCAGCTGCCTGTGACCCGCTTAGGGAAATGCTTAGGGAAAAAAAAGATGGACATTCTGACTCTCTACCTTTCTTTGGGACTTTCCTTGTCTTCCTTCCTTCCTTCTTTCCATCCTTCCTTCCTCTTTTTTATTCACAGTTGGTCAGCAAGGGTAAGTGTGTTGACTTCCATGAATTATGTTCCTGGCTGTTCATCTTAAAGCTGTAATATCAAATGACATTTACCACAGAAAAATTAACAGATAGCAATGGATAATGTTTGGTCACTAAGGGTGACTCCTTAGAAACAGAGATCATTATCTGATCATCGATCATCAATCCGTCTCCCCTCATGAAGGCAGGCACTTGTCATCACCTCAAGCTGGTTTTCTGTTTCCTTAGTATCATCCTCCTGACTAAGTAATTCTCCAGTGACAGAGGGGAGGAGTGTGGTGTGGGGAGCCCACTGTGCTGAGAGCCAGGGGAACAGGCTCTCATTCAGGCTCTGCTTCTAGACAGCAATAATAAGAATAATTATTTCTATCATTATTGCCATTCCCCTTGTTTCTACCGCCTGTTGAGACCTGGAGTGTGCCAGCCACCACGCTAGCTCTGTGCCTCAAGTCGCAAATCGCACCACAGCCCTAAGCGACCAGTACCACCCTTATCCCTGTTTCACGTACAAAGAAACCACAGCTCAGAGGGGTTCAGTAACTTGGCAGACGTTTTATGAGAAACCTTGGAGTGGCATTCAGAGTGGAGCCCAGAAGCAAGCCAGACTGACAGGCTGCAAGTTGCCAATCTTTTTTTCTTTCTATTTAAAATTGTATACATAAGTATATAGATAAGTATATACATACACACAGACACACATATGCATATACCTGTGTATGTACATATTTGTTACAAAAGCAATACAAAGCTACATAAAAGACAAACAGTAGAGAAATACATAAAGCTGGGAGCAAAAATTTCCCATAGGCCACATACCAGTTCTCACCCCATATTCCACTCCTCTTTTCCAGTCACTGACCCTGTCAATTTTGGAAAGCATATCTTCCAAGTGTTTAAAATACACATGCCTAATAGTTTGTTGTTGTTCCCTTTTGTAAAAATGGGTTTATGCTGTACCCGGTGTCCTTCAACTTGCTTGTTTCACTTCGCAAATACCTTGTTTTTATCTTCCTATTTCAGCATATAGAGAGGCACCTCGTTCTTTATTACATGAGTCTGTTCTTCCATCTGTGAAATAAAGGGGTGGTTCTGGGTCTCTAAGGGCCCTTCCAATCTAATGTTATGCATTCTGATCTTCTGTTTTAAAAGGCAATGCTAATGACTAAGTAATTGGATGGTTTTGTTTGTTTGTTTCCTAATGGAGTGTGAAGCGCTCTGGCAGTAAATCAACGAAATATCTGTAGTGAGGGTATTGGGGGTCCCGTGACTCACTGTTCCTTGCACTGCCTTACAGCCTTGCGTACGTTAACTACGCAATAAATATTTGTTGAGTGAATGCCACCGCAGAGAGCTTTACTGAAGCGAGAAGATGGCACTGGCTCAAATTCATTTCACTTTTTCTAAGAGACCTTGGGCCACCCAGTGTATCCCTTAAAAGCACTTTTATGTCCTAAGGAAACCAGAAAAGGTGTTGTTAATTACATGTTCCAATATCAATTTTACCAGAGTATATTGGTTTTAAGTTTGATTTTTTGATCTAAGCAAGTTGTGTGTGTGCGTGTGCTTAATTTGCTCTAGGATCATAAAACTTTAGATGCAGAAGGGATAGTTGAGTCCATTTAATACAAACCTAATGACATATATGAAGTTCCTCTTTATTATACTCAACTAATAGTCATCCAGGCTGTATTTGAGGGTCTCTAGTGATGCAGAACTCTACAACTGAAGGGAGTATGCCAACAGCAGGGCCACCCACGGCATCAAAAACAGGTTGATCGAAGATCCACAGGGTACTACTGAGAAAGCACTCTCTTTTGGTTGTCCTGAGTCCATTAATTCTTTGAGTTAGGGTGTTGGACTACTATAAACTCATCTAACAATATCATTACCAAGCTCATGCTACTCCCTCTTATTCCCAAGTTTATCATCTACTCATTTGGTCTTTCAGCAGACATACATTATAAGCATTAGGATAAGCTTTAGGAATCAACAGCAGCTAAAATGTGGCCCATACTTTCCTCCAATTTACAGTCTAGAAAGGGAGACAGATGTAACCAGTTACCATGCAGATGGACTGAAGCAACAATATGCTGCTCCTCTACCTCCTGGGATTAGAGAAGACTTTATAAAAGAGGTTAAATTTGCATGTGGGTCTTGAAGGATAAATAAGGAGAAGAAATCCGAGGGCCTTGAAAAACTTCATGAGATACATGTTAATATCCAAGTATGTTAAAACAATAGTATTTTCCTTATCTGAAAATCCAACAAACCTATCAGAATATGAAATTTGTTTGTTTTTAAATAACCTGTTGGTAAACCCATTCCGAACCTCAGGAATCACCAAGTTGTTTCTCTTTGAAATACTCACAGACCATCCTTTCAGAGATTAATTTTACTTGTTGATGTCAAACTCATTAACATATCATCTATGGAATCCATACTTGCCCATCACACACTTAATTTTCCAGCTTTGGCATTTATTCGGTACTTTGAAATTTCTCATACATTTACCAGATGTAGTTCCTTTTTGCCATATTATAGGACTTGGTTTGAAAACTGATTGTTTACAATGATTATAGGAGCATATAGATATGTCTTTGCTTTCATCCATCACCTATTGTTGGCTGTTAACACTGACTTATTTGATATCAGATTCTTATTATGAAGCCTTAGTCCCAATTATAACGTTATTCCTAAAAGAAAATTATTCTGCCTCATAATGATCCACTTTAAGAAGCTGTTTTTAAATTTTAATGCTAATTGCAATGCTCTTACGTGCAAGTAACAGAATGTTCCTCTCAAGCGCATTGATTGACATAAGCAAAAAGTCTAGAGGCACTGGCTTCAGGCATGACTTGGTCCAGCAACTCAAATGACATTACTAGAACCCAATGTGTACCTCTTCCTTTCTTGGCTCTACTTTCCTAGGTTTGTCTCCACTGTTAGTAGGCTTTTCTCTTGTAACCCCCAGAGAGCTACCAATAGCACCAGGGCTACCACATCCACATTTAAGAGCAACAGGCAGAAGGACAGTCTACTGCAAGCAGAAGTCTTAGAATTGAGTCTCAGCCCTATTTGACATGGGTTCCCAACCCTGACTCCATCACTGTGGTCAGAGAGTTGAGATATACTAACTGCCCTAAACCCATCAGGGCTCACCACTGGAACTCAGGAGGGATTACATAGGAGTGACTGGAAACTTTGGAGTACCGTTAAAATGGGGAAGATGGAAATGGATGCCTAGAAGGCAACCAATGAATGTCTGATTTAGAAATTTAGAAGAATAAGGAACCTTAGAAATCAACTCTCTAAATATTTTCTATAAAGTAGATTGCTTATTAATTTATTCATTCAACAAATGCATATTAAGTCTTTGCCTTAGACCAGGCAGTGTGCTTTGAGCTGTGGGACCGCAAGGATGGATAAGACTCCATCTTGACTCAAAGAACAGTGATGCCACGTGAAGTCCCTTAAGTTCCTGCCTTTCCTGCTCCCCTTTCTTTCTTAGAAGCCAATGCTATCACTTCCTGAGCTGATTATTTGGTAAGAATAATCTTGTCCCAAAGTATCATATATCTACATCTAGTCCTTAATATGCAAGACCAAACCCCAAAACATTGGTGAAATGTATTTGGTTTCAATTCTTAAAAAAAAGCTATTTTCAAGTTTACTTTAAAAATAGTAGAGCCACATTCTAAACTTTAAGCCAGAACTATGACCTAAGCAGATGAGTTTAAAAGCCAGCCACCATGGGTACACTCTGGAAGATGTTATTGTTTAACAGGCCAAGTGCCAATTAAGCAGAAGATGCTGTGGCCAACATCTCTCCCCAGAGACTCTCCTGGGCAGCAGGTCAGGCAGTCACAGCTTGTGCCTGTTTTTCTAAAGAGGAGTTTAGAACCTCAGAATTCTGATCCATAGGCCCCCTGCATCAGAGTCACCTGGGGAGAATAGTTATAATAACTATTATTATTAATAAATATTATTTATTAATTATTAATAAATATTATTATTAATAACGTCAGCCTGACGCCAGATTTCTGAATCGGAAGAGTGGGGGGATCTGCAATTTATCACAGCCCACTGGTGCTTCTTATACACACTTAGGCCTGAGACCCCCTGGTTCAAGTCTACACAGCCTCATCCTCAGGCTTTTCACTGTGCCATGGGACAAGAGGAGAACTCCATCCCCAGTAAGACTGGACATTCTGTTCGCAAGACAAGACCTGCACACAGTTGCCTGGAAGTGGGGCTCAGCCAAGAGGCCATTGAAAGCCCCTGCTATTTCTTACTCACACCCGTGAGTTTTTTCCCATGAAAACTGGGAAGACATGGGCAGTGAGTGGGGTGGTGCTGGGTCAGTGTCACAGCCAAGCGGCCAGGTTTGGCTCCTGGATCCACATGCCCTCTTAAGTGATAAGTGGCTGTTAGAGGACATCCCTGCAGGGTCTCTTAGTAGCTGACGGGTTTGGACTGGGCTTAGCATCACCCAGGCCAGGGCTTTCACTCGGCCTCCATGGAGTTGTGTTACCAGAGGATGAGCCGAGTTTTCTTACTGAAGAAAAAAATAAAACACTCTCTCAGTGAGCTCTTGATTTCTCAGCCTGCTTCAGGTTTCCTGGGGAGCAGGGAATCCCCTTCTCTTACCTCCACGTTCCCTAGTGACCATCCCCACCCCATCCCCCTGCCTAACAGCTTATTCCAGAATAAGAATTCTCTCTTGTGCTGCAAGGACCCAGGGCTGGGGAGTGCCTGGGACAGATTTGGAGCATTGCCGCAGAAGCACAGTCCATCATCTCGCCCCTTAGCACACAGAATCACCCAAGCAGCGACATTTGTTATTGCATTTTGCTTGTGACGTGGGTTTGTTGAACAAAGAAAATTCAAGAAACGACATTTTCAAGATTATGTGACATGTTTCAGTTATATTAAATGGGCCTCATGGATGTTTGTTTCGTTATAGCCAACCTTGAAAATGAGGGACTGGGGCTGAAGCTGAGATAGAGTCTAGGGCCCCATTTTTTTCTGTGGCTGCCATGGCAATTGGTTGTCATCTCATTATCTTTATAGAGACATATTATTCAGGTGGCAAACAGGCTTTGTCAATTTCTATTGCTTGGAACAGCACTGAGCAGATTTTGTAGATCCTGAGACTGGCTCACTGAAAAATAATGATTGATTAATGATGTGTGCTGCCCAGAGACCAGCAAGGAGAGGTGGCACCCCTGGCTTGAGGGTTTTTCAGCGACTCCCCCACCAAAGTTACTCCTAGCTGGGGCTATTTCCAGTTGTAAGACTGGTGAATGACCATGTATCTCTTTACTCAGAGGATACAGCTAAGGGCTTTAGCCTGTTGACACAGGAGAGGAACTGTCCCTTACATTCCTTCTCCTGTAACCTCTGTGATTGTTAATGGCGTCTCAATCTTTCAAGCATTCAAGGCCCTTTCCTCCATTCAATTTGTAATCCAGCCCTGGCTATCCCCCTCTGCAATCAACTCACCTCCTCTTAGTGTTGTTCTAACTCGTACTTTCAGGATCTCCTTTACATACAACTAAAATACAATTCTTTTTTGCTTCCCTGCCTCCAAGGATCCCCCTCCGATCGTTCCTTCAGTGAAGCAAAGGGCAGTGGCCCCCGCTCCTGACTGTGTGTTGGAATCTCCCAAAGACTTTTAAAAAGAACATATTTCGGGGCCCCTTGCCAGGCTGGCAGAGTGAGCATGGCCAGAGACGATGGTGTCTGAAAATCTGTATTTTATAATTATATAATTTATATTTTAGCTCTTCAAAGATTCTAATGCAAGCAGCCCCACTTGGGACCTCTCCACCATCTGCTTTAGGGAACCACTGGTGAGGCTGAAAAATATAGACCTTGGGACCTGGAAATCAGGCCTTAAATCTTGATTTCATCATATTATCTGTGTGACCTTGAGCTCCTTCACAGCTTGACGTCTCCACTACTTTGTCACTGAGGTGGAGAATAACAGTTACCTTGGAGGTTTGTTGGGAGGAGTAAATGAGGAAATGTAGATAAGGTGTCTGGCACACAGTAGGTCTCCAGAAAATGAGAACTTCTATTTTTCTGAACAGTCTTATCCTTATTGTCATTATTCTGAAACAGACCAGATCATGTCACCTCCCTGCTCAAAACACGTCACTGTTCCCCCATTGTCGACAGAAGAACGTCCATGCTTCCTACCATGACCTTCAAGGTTCAGTCCCACATGGCCTCCTCCCACATCTGCCCCGGGCACACTGGACTCTCACTGACCAATCAGCACGTCATTCCCTTTTACTGGTGGGGCTCTTTCCTCTATCTGTACCGCCCTCTCTTTTCTCTACCTGTGGACACCCTGCTAACTCTTCAAGAAGAGCTCCATGCTTCTCCCCTCAGGAAGCCATCCTGACCACCTGAGTAAAAAGAACTGCTTCCTCCTCTGCCCTTAATTAAAGCACTTGGCCCTTCCTGGTTTTGTTTCTCCACATGTATCTCCCTCACTGAATCAGTGTCCTTGAAGGAATGGCTTGTGACCCATGAGTCAATGCATACAAATATGCGTTAAGCATCTACTATGTGCCACGCACTGTTCTAGGCGCTGAGCGTCCCACAGTGGACAGAACAAAGTCCCTGCCCCCAAAGAGCCTACACATTAGTCAAGGGAGACAGCACACAAAATAAACAAATACAGCGTGTTAATGGTGATGAGTACTGTGAAGAAATGTGAAATGGTGTAAAGGTAGCGGAGTGATGGCATGGAATTTTATACCAAGTCAGGGAAGACCTGAATGAAGGGGGAGGAGTGCCATCTAAACATCTTGGGAAAGTGCAATCCAGGTGGAGGGCACAGCAAGTGCAAAGGCCCTGAGGCATGGAAAAATAAACCTGGGCTTTGGAATCGAAAGGATACATTTTAGCTGGATGGTCTGGGGCAAATATTTCACTTCTGGGTACTTATTTCCTCATATAAAATATGAGAATGGTAATGATACGTTCTGTCCTCGGAGCTCTTGTGAAGGTTCAATAAGACATTGTTCCTGCCACATAACAGGTACTGATATGCTGGTTCCCTTCTCTTCTCTCTTCCCCTCCATCCTCACAGCCTCCACATAATGCTGACTGTGGTATCTGTTCTACGGCAGATGTTCAAATATTTGCCAATATGAATTGCAAAGGTGCGCTTAGCTTAAAATGCTTCTCTCATAACAGCTGTACTTCCTTTGCCACCTTCGAGGGAAGCATTAAAAACGGTGTTCACAAAACTGTTCCAGCCATGCCCCCCACATATAACTGCTGGCTTCCGAGGGCATTGACAATGGGAAGAGAAGAGAGGATAGGATTCTCTGGATGTGGGTTCTGCAATTGCTCTAAAGCTCTGTGATTCTAGGAGATGCCCCCTTTGGTTCCCTTTACACTCATTAACAGCAAAACCCTGCTGAAAAGCAGTTAGTTGCTGTTGGAGCTCATTCGAGAGGAATAAAGGATTCCATGCAGACTCTGTCGTGATTTAAAGAGAGCATGGGCTCTAGTGGGAGAGTCAGTGGAATGTCCAAAGCTATTTCTCTATTTTTAGCCAGTTCTTCCTCATGTTTCCTCCTGCACAAGGAGCCTTCTCTGACCTGTCTCTGATACATGGCTACAGTTGTCCTTAAGTGACACAGGCATCATCATTAGTGTGGGCAACCTAAGCTTAGAAATGCGACACGTTAAAACATCCATATGAGGGTTAGATGGTTTCTTCTCTGTTAGGAAGCTGAATCATCTACCCTTAATTAGGTAAGAAAATAACCATGTTGAGCTGAAGGCATTGGGGAGCCATAGGTACAAAATACATCTCATCATTTCCACCTCTGTTTCCATGTGACCATCTGCCCTTCAGTTAAAATTTCTTTTTTTAATTTTTAGACCTAAGAATAAGCCAGAAGTTTTTGCTTCTCTTATTACATTTTCCAGAAGACTTTATGTGATCTAGTTTTTAACTTCTCATAGATGTATTCTATGATATGATTCAGAGATTTATTTGACATTAATTATTCCCTCTTCAAGATTCTGAAGATAACATCAAGGAGGTTTATTTTCAACCTCTATTTCCATGGAAGTAGAATCCCAAGGTACCTGCATAGAGTAGCTTTTCCTCTAAGAGAAGTAATCAAACTAGCTGAGCAGCAGAAAATCACTCATTATAGTCTGAAAAATTACAAATAATATTCTGATAAATTACATTTTTGTATACAGTTACCTGCTTTCCTCCATGCCCAAGCCTGAAAGCCTGTCTTTAAAACAGGATATAAGAGAGTTATTATTATTTAAGATACTAAAGGGCCCAAGCAAAAGGAATGACAGTGGGTGGGAAATAGTCAAGTAGATAAGTATCCGTGGTGATGGACAGGGCAAAAATGGAACTCGTGAAAAGAGAAATGAGTTGGGGCTTCATTCACTCACAGAATCAGCTGTGTCTCTGTCCATAACTGTAACATTTCAGAGAATGCCACTCCTCTTCTAATGCCAGTCTTTCCCTGGTATGTCAAGAAACATCAGCATTGAGATTCAGGAATCCTATTACATGATCTTACTACCTAGGTACTCAAAAGTACAATTTCATCTTTAAAATTGTCGAAAGAATTTTAGTCCTATCTAGTCTTCCAAGAAAGCCATAACATGAACAATGCCAGTAACAATTATGACACTAAATTGTCCTTATAAGAATTTTAAAAAATCAATTTTGCCCATTTATATTCGTTGTGACTAATTTCCATTTAAATGATCTGCCTTTATTTAGTCTAAAAATGTGTCTGTATCTCCTTTGTTTCTTGGTTGAGAAATTTGCAGTTCTTGAAAGGTGGTTAGGTGGAACTGTTTGAAGACATGTTGGTATGTGCTAATGCTCTTTAATTATAATTCTCTCTTTTTATATTTGGCAGTATATCAGTTACAGCAAGAGGCCCCTCGCCCCAAGAGGATCATTTGCCCTGCGGAGGTCAGTACTCAGCTATTTCCGATACACCTCGTTAAATATGATGAATGGTCAGCACTTTGTTCATATTGGAGGACCTTCAGATTTCCTGGGAGTTGATTTCGTTTAATGTTTGTTAAAGTGTCACCAAATTTAACATCTAAATAATCTATATTTTGAAATCAGGTATTATTTGAAAAATACTAACTTGGAATCAGAAGTCTTACATTTTTCACTACTACAGAGGCAAATTAAGCATCCTTTGTAAACTCTCCAAAATGTGTGTTCTGGTTGTTTTCTTTGTTCCTGCAGTTTTGATACTTTTATCACTTTTTTATTATGAAATGCTTCCAAAAGAGAAAATGCAGAGAATGATAAATATCTGGATACTCTCAACACCCATATTTAGCAAACCTTTACATTTTGTCATATTAAAAAAAAAATCCCTACGAGAAAAGTGACTGGGTTTTTATTCTTGGAGATAAGCTTAAAAATATATTGACTCATAAAAATGCTTACCAGGCACAGAACTTTCCCTAGCCCTCCTTTACTTATCATCTGGGATGCCAGCAAGATTTGAAAGACAGGACTAAGGCTCTGTTTTCTATTTTTATGCTGACTAGGTGCTTTAACAGCCAGACCAATATCCTTCAAACAAAGGTCCATGGGTCCTTGATTATTTTTGTTATTATGACTTCAATTAAATACAGAATAGCAGATTTCTTTTAAAGTGTCACATCTGCCTTATCAGAGGGCAAGGCTCTACTTCCAACAATCTTGAGATTTTTCCTTGAACATCAGTACTTTCTGGCAGACTGACTGGATCTGGTTTTGAATCTGTCTCAAAGGCTTAGGTACATATGTACCCACACCCAGAGCCAACTTACCACTGTTCAATAAGTGTTTCTATGTGAAATTTTACTTCTGTTGAAGGGCACTGAAGTTCATCAAGTAATCTGAATTTTAATAGAGTGGACATTCTCATCCCAGAAATATAGCCTGAGAAGAGAAAATATTTGATCTGTAAGGAAAAATCCAGGATGAGGTCAAATCTTTATTTGGTGGTACGATTTTGTTCCATCACTAACCCTGCTGACTTGTCTTTTGGTTATTAAATAATATCCAAGTAAGAGAAATATAGGATAAATACAAAATTTTTAATGAGATGCTTTAATTAGGGTATTTTGGGTGAGAAATAAGAAACAAGTTGTTAAAAATTCTTTCAGTCCTACTTTACGTTTAGTATTTTGCCATCAGGAAAAATATAACCATGTGTAGGGAGTTAGAGGAGTTTAAATGTCTCCATGAAAAGAATGTTTGTAAAATTAAAATACAACTAAAGTCTCTTCCTAGGGGTATTAATAAAAAGTCTACTGGTAAGGTCGGGCACTAGAACTTGAAACCCAAAGGGATATAGTAAATATTCATTTGTTCATTTATTTTATATATATATAATATATAGATACAGAGAGAGACTGCTCTGTTCTGACTTAGATCTAGGTGTTGGGAATACAGCAAAGAACTTGGCTATTGGTGCTTTGAGTTTCATATTAATTGTATGTAATTAAAGGTATATTTAAGATGTTATCTATGGGTGGGTGTAAAAGAGAGAGAGAGAGAAAGAAAGAAACAGAAAGAAAGAGAGAAATAGAAAGAAAGAGAGAGAGAGCGAGAGAGAGAGAGAAAGAGTCCGAGCACCTCTTTGTTTCTCAAAATCCTTGGAACCATGTCTGTTGTCCTCTAAGCCAGGTGGAATGTTAGCAGTGGAGATGGGTAGATTCAGATTAGCTTCATGAAGCGTCTTCACAGGGTTCCTCTGAAACTCTTCAGACATCCTATGGGCTGAGGGTCCACAGCCTATCTCTTCAATGTCACACTTGCATCAGAAGGAAGTGCCCCAGAGGCCTTAGCAAAGCAGAGCTGTGAGCCACAAGCCACCACCATCTGCTATGACTAAAGGACATGGCGTGTGTACAGCTTTTTTCATCCTCCTTTCTAGTCTTGTAAACCAAGCTTTTCACATTTTGACCTTTATCAATCTGATTCATTAATAAGTTATGCCTGGTGGATGCCGGATTCCTAGGTAACTTGCCTCTAGGAATTCCATATCTCATTTCTACCAGGAAGCCTAGCACAAAATGGACATTCATCAACTCCATTTCCTCAGCAGGCAGCATGGGGCCATCCAGCCAGGCAGATGTCAGGTGATAAAGGTCCGAGTGTGCTGGAGGAACAGGTGCTGCCGAGGCGAGCGCCAGCCAGCGTAGCTTCAGGGCCCTTTGTCCTCCTGTGCAAATAATTCCTGCCCACACTGCTCGGCCTCCCAGGACTTGGCCTCCTTCTAGTGAAGGAGTGGTCGCTGGTGAAACCACTCCTGCTGCAGAGGGTGTTTTAGCAAACGGCTCTGTGCCTTATAGCACACCTGCGTGCTCGGGGATATGCCTAATGAAGAAGCCTTTCAGTTTGAGTGTGTGGCCAGAAAGCCTGAAGCTTTATTAACATATTTACATAAAGCCATAAAGGCTATTTCTTTTGAACAGTGAGTTATGATTTTTTCTGTGTCTTTGCCATCTTATCCCTCAGCTAGCCATTGAGTCCTCGCTTTACTTTACCCACAGCCTTGCTGCCCTCCTTCTTAGTCTCCAGCCCCTCTCCTCTCAGCCACCTTGTCCCTGGCAAGCCTGCTCCGCTGTGTTGCTCCAACACACTCCATCTCTTTTGTTTCTCTGATGACTAATAACCTCCCAGGCTATGGGCCTCTCTCAGGTTCGGGTCCTCCCACTGCAAGTGATACATCCCACATTAGAGCACCAAGTGAGTCTGCAGTTACAGTCATGGAACACTGTCGTTCAAGTGTACAGACACAGGCCAACCTGACTTGAATGCTTGGTGGCTCTCGACGGATACCAACCGCCTAATGGACTTTGTTGGAGAACTAGGCGATCGAGGGTACAGACTGATTCAGCAGGTGAAATCCAGTGAGTTTTGCAAACCCAGGAAGGGGAGCCTGGCTGCAGAGTCAGCTGGGCTTGTTTTGCATCCTTGTTCTACCACTTTCCGGCTACCTGACTTGGAACCAAGCACTTACTCTCTCAGGGGGATTAAGGTCTACCCGCAGGGCAAACAGCTACTGCGCAGGGTGTTATAAGTGGGATCCATGTGGCAAGTGTCTAGAATGGTGCCTGGCACATCGGAGGTACTCACTGTTGATGATTCATGGCAGATTCAGAAATCTGTGGAGAGCAAGTTCTGAGACAGTCATTAGGGACAGAGTCACAGCAATGACAGTATTCTCTGGATGTGAGGGCCAAAAAGGCAGTGATGAAGAACAAAGCACGATTCCTGGGTCAGGGATTAAGCTGCCATGTAAAAAGATGCTGAGGGTGAGGAACAGAAAGAACAAGTGGCTGAACAATGGCTCTGGCGCCAGTTAAGCCAGGGAGGGTCAGTTACTGAAATAAGAGTCCATGGCTTTCTTGAGATTCATCGTGGTAAATTAATATTTACTGAGCAGCCACGGCACCTGGCACTCTTCTCTACCAGCATTTCCTGAGCGCTCCGTGCCAAGAGGTTCAGAACATCTTCCGGTATGCCAAATTCTCACTTGCCCTTTCTGTCAATTATCAATCAGTCGTCACATCAGCATTTATTAATCACCAAATGTGTGCCTGGGTGGTCTGCTAGGAATAGTGCAGAATATCGACTCCTAAATTTGCATCTCTAGCTAAGACCTCTCCCCTGGGCTCCAAACACCTCGCTCCATCTGTCTACTTGACCTTTTCAGGGAGATGTCCCACCGGCCATCTCTAGCCTAATGCTCAAAGGAGAACTGGACCCCACTCCATTAAATGGCACCTAACTTCAGAAACCTGCATGCCTGTCTCTCCTACCCTCAGCCTTTTCTCTTAGCAAGCTGCATTTACCTCCAAATATATCTTGCATTTGTCACTCTTCTCTGCCTCCAGGACTACCATGGGCTTGGGCCCATCATCGTTTCTTACCTGGATTGTTGCTGCTCAGCAACCTCCAGCCTCATCTCCCTGCTTCCACTCTTGGCACTCTCCCGGACACACACACACACACACACACACACACACACACACACACACACCATTCTTCAAACAGGAGCCCAAACCATCATTGTTAGATATAAATCCAACTGCTTCAGCAGCTTCCCATTGCTCTTAAAAGCAAGACCTCGGGCTTCCCTAGTGGTGCAGTGGTTGAGAATTTGCCTGCAGATGCAAGGGACACGGATTCGAGCCCTGGTCTGGGAAGATCCCACATGCGGTGGAGCAACTAGGCCCGTGCGCCACAACTACTGAGCCTGTGCGCCTAGAGCCCGTGAGCCACAACTACTGAGCCTGCGCGCCTAGAGCCCATGAGCCACAACTACTGAAGCCTGTGCGCCCAGTGCCGGTGCTCCGCAACAAGAGAAGCCACCGCAATGAGAAGCCCGCGCACCGCAACAAAGAGTAGCCCCCGCTCGCCACACCTAGAGAAAGCCTGTGCACAGCAACGAAGACCCAACGCAGCAAAAATAAAAACAAATAAATAAATTAATTTAGAAGTAAATAAAAGAAAAAAAAAAGCAAGACCTCTTGCCATGGCTCTGAGCCGTGGTGTGGCTCCTGCCTTCCTCACTGCCCTGTCTGTAGCATCCTTCTCAGAGTGCACTGCCTTGCAGCCCCACTAGGTCTTGCTCCTATTCATCAAACAGATCATAGTGCTGCTACCACAGGGCCTTTGCATTTGCCCTTTGCCTAGAATTCTTGTCCTCAAGTTCTCTGCATGTCCAAGTTTCAGATCAAATTTCACCTAATAAAGCCCTCCTTGAACCCCCTAAAATTTAGCACCTACAGATCTTCTCTCTCGTTTCACCCTATTTATTTTGTTTATAGGACTTAATACATGCTCTAGTATACTTTTGATCATATTTAACTGTTTACCTGTTGCTTGTACATCTCTCTCCAGGAGAATATAAGCTCCAGAGATGTCACCAGTCTTAATCATAAGTACTTCCC